GGAAGGAAGGAAGGAAGGAAGGAAGGAAGGAAGGAAGGAAGGAAGGATTTTATTTTTAAGGAGGAGGGAAATAATAATAGTGAAAAGAATTGAGAAGGGTTTTATGGTGCTTTTGGTTGTTGTTGCTTGCTTGTTTTTTCCTCATAATCAACTAAAAAATTCCTTAAACTTTCAATTTTTGACACAGCATTATTTGAATGCTAAGTTTTTACAGCAGCTCTTCACCCAGTTTGATCTGGTAGTAGTTGTACTGTCCATTTCCCACAAACGCTTTCTTGCACAACACTATTGACTTAGGTTCGCCTTTGGCCAGTGCTGTAGAGTCAAAGCTCAACCAGCAGCTTTCTGAATCAGCTGCACAGCCCCAGGCATATTCTGTCAGGTAACTCTTAGATTGCAGTCAGAAATACGGAAGCTCATACTACTTCCAGCAGCAGTTGTGTTGTAACAAAATATTTACCAAAAAAGGGCTGCACTGACCCTCACAACTGCATCGTGAGATCTTAGTCAAAAGGTATTAAGGATTGGGGTAACCTTAGCAAGCTGCAGCATTTGTTTCAGGTTGTGTTACAGCATGACAGCAGTGTGTGCTTTAGCTATTTTAATGATATTTTTTAAAGGACATGGAAAACACTGAGAGTTTCCATAAAGCCTTCTGGGAAAGATATGTGGAAGAAAGACTGTAGAAAGAAAACAGACATTTAGAATGAGAGTGTGAGTTGGCCTGCACAGTAGAAGAAACACAGTGGTGAGCTCAGCCACTTTGTTCAAGTATATTTTATTGAGCTAAATCGTTTAACAGTCTAAACTTCTTTTCAGAACCACAGAAAGTATGAAGAGATGTGACATATTGAAGTACATATGAATGAAATGAGAAGTTGCATTCCCCAAAAAGATGTGTATGATCCCACAAAAAGCAGCCGGGAGGAATCTGTTCCAAGATGCATGCATGTTGAGAGGGCAAGGTCAGAGTTTGTGGTCGTCTCTCCTGAAAGCAGAAGCATTAGAAGGAAGAGTAGAGATCACTGCTGTAACTTCACTGATACAACAGCATGACAGAACAGAATTCGGAGACCTTTTAAACACTGCTTCTGTGTGTGTGTGCACATGTACATATATAACACATGTATAGATAAATAATGACTGAATATATACACTGTTTTGAGTCCAATATAGACATTATATGTATTTTGTATAACTATATATAAGCTCAGTCTAATAAAAATCATCATACCAAAACAGTTCATCAAGGAAAATGAGTACCTCTGACTTTGTAAAGCAAGGAATTCAGCCAGATGACTGCTTTCATGCTTAATTCAAGGAGCAGCAATTATAGTGAGCTCCTTATTGTATAGAGCTCACAATTTTATAATTCTGCTCATCCATTCCCACAAATACACCCTTGTCTCTTTCTACAGTTAGTTGCATCTTAACTTGTGGATAAGCAGAATATGTGTTGAAAAAACATTTGAGCGCATGGTACAACAGATTGTTGATGGCATACTTGATGATCATGAGTAACAGACCAAGCCAGCAACCATCTCATCAGCATGCTCTAATGCTAGATACAGATAGCTCTTTTTACACTGTGCCTGGCACACGCAGCATGTTTGCTGAGCAAGGCTGTCTCAGCCTGATGACACTGTCCTTTGCAGTGTGACACCAGCAAGCTGACCGGCTAGCCCAAGTCACAAGCACCAGAGTTTCCCTTCAATGCTTCTTCCTGTGTACAACTAAGGAGTAAGGACAGCCCATTGCAGTGTCTGCTTTCCGTTTCTTACTTTTTATTACTGCTCAGTAAGACTGAGACTTCCTGTCTACCGCCACAGACACATATTTCTGCCCCAACCTGAGTGTAAAAGGGGTCTATCCAAAACCCTCCAGAAAACAAGCAGATGCATCAGGAGGCTGGCTAAACAAATTTCTCATAGCATGTCTCCAATGTGAAGGGACAGCACACAGAAGCTGGAAGCAGAGACAGACTAGACAGGAGGAATTTGGAAGCATTGCCCAGATATGTAGGGATGATGCCAGGGAAGCCAGTGCTAGCTTCAAGTGACTTGCGAGGGATGTCAGTGGACAATAAAGACATCCTCTAATGCTGCATTATTAGGAAATGGGTGAACAAAGACATGTGGAACCATTGCTGAGGCCAAAAGAGACCAAAAATCCCTCCCTTCTGTCCCTAGGAATATCACAGAGCCACTTCTCTCTGGATGCATTTTCTGGCCATGTGAAGGAGGAGGGGATGATTTGAAATAGTCAGCATGGGTTCACTGAGGGCAAACCATACCTGACCAACATGATTGCCTCCTTTTGTAATAGAGGCAAATTTTGTAATAAAGTTCCTGGCTCTGTGCGTGAGAAGGAGGCAGAGGATGGACTGTGATAGAGACTGATACTCTCAAGGGCAGCAGCACTCTTCACAAGGAGCTAAGCAGGTTGGAGAAGTGGGTGGTCACCCACAGACTCCACTTGGCAATCACTGTATCTCAGAATATTCTGATCCACAGTGAAACATGACAACTTACAGCATGAAGTGTTTCTTTGCAGGTTTTTCATGGTGCTGAAATTGTCTGCAAAGACCACCATGGTAGTCACAGCTTACCTTGCTCCTTATTGCTAAGAACAGCAAAATCTACCTTAAAATTCCAGACTGTATGGGTGAAATCTGTTGTGACTTTACTGTGAAGCTTGCAGAGCCAGGTTCATGTTGTGCAGTTAGGGAGGGCCAAGGTATTGTCTCCTGTTCTGTAGAAGTGACATCTACTGTGGTAGTCCCAAAACCTGCCATGGGCTGCCACTATTTCCTCTTCTGTGTTGGGACCAGGATTCTGGTTCCTGTGGCTTTATGGCACAAGAAGAGCAAGAATCCTATGTTATGCTCCTGAAGGTTGCCACATTAAGAGATTTTCATCAAATGTGAACGCAGCATGCCTGTAGTAAGAAACTAACACTTCCAGGTATTGTACAGACAGGATAGTCACAGGATTGTGAAAGGTCTTCCCCCTTCTCAGGAATTAGTGCGCTCTGTGTCATGTATATTCACATGTAAATACGGTATTAGTCAGTGATCAGAATTGTTTCACAAGGCCAGGAATTATCCAGCTATATTTCTGGCTTTGTAAAATGATTTAAACCACTGACTAATACTGTATGGTATCCCAGACACTGGATCCAGCTATATGCCTGGCCTCACAATGAATTTCCAAATGCCTCTTTTTGAGCATCCTGATTACATGAGTTTTGCTGAAGGTAACAATTAGGAAAGCATGATCCCTTCTCAGGTGATTACTTGGCTGAGGTATTTCTGATGTCTGGTTCTCCTCTAGTCTACCAGCAGCATCGCATTGTTGCAAAACAAACCCACAGACATAAACAACCCCAGTTTACATGTTGAACAGCTCTTCATGCTGCTCATCCTCTATATGACATTTCACAGAATCATAGAATCACAGAATGGTTTAGGTTGGAAGAGACCTTGAAGTTCCAACTCTGTGCTGTGTGGAGGGTTGCCCCCCACCAGCTTAGCTGCCCAGGGCCCCGTACAACCTTGCCTTGAGTGCCTTCAGGAATGGGCCACCATAGCTTCTCTGGGCAGCTGTGCCAGGGCCTCCATCACTCTGCATTAAGACACTACAAACACATACAGCACCTGCACAGAATTAATCAGAATGCATCTTTTCTGTTTTGGTGATTCCCTGCTACAGCATATCTCCAGGCTAGCGGCACTTCAAGCCCTGCTCCTTGCAAGCACAAGTATAAACCTGATTCTCTGGGGACCCACTTTGGGATCCTTCTACATTGCTGGGCAGGTTTAAACTCAGTCTGTTAGGAATTAGCTGAGGGATTTATAATGAAATGTTCTGTGTCTTGTGGAGAGAGCTTTCTCTTCTAGAAAATTTCCACTCACAATTTGCACCAGTTCATGCATATGTCTCGCACAGCCCTTATACTCACTAAAACAGAAATCATTGTGCTTCATGACTGCAACAGGCATGTCGTATAGCTGTCTCACAGAAGTGCATTAGCTTGGTAGTGGAAAAGGACAGTACATCTACCACAGAGTGCCCAATTGTTTTTTAAAGCCAGTTACAATATAATAAGAGGCTATCTTCTTTAGAGCAGTGAGAGAGTTCTTTTTAAAGCAGCAGGGTCTGTTTTCTAATAATAAAAAAGAGAAATATAAAAGGAAAGTTGAACCATTCAGGCTACATCCTAGGCAAAGGCTAGATACTGAAATGCGTGCTGTCAAATGTTTCGTAATGCAAATGCTGCCCCTGGGGACCTCAGAGGTGAATTCAGACTTCTGTGTCACATAAAGGCACACAACAGTGCTCTATCTAGTTAAGCTTTAGCATTACAAGTGGAAAGGAAAACAACAGCAATGACAAATCAGTTTCAGTAATTTCACAGTTTCCAACTGAAAGAAGATAAACTAGGAGATATTTGATTACAGATTTCAGACGAGGAACTATCCGACATATTTAGTCCCATAGACAGAGCTGGCCTGCTGACCACCTGTAAGCCTTTCACAGAAGAAGCAAAAGGCCATAAGCCTTGTGCTGTGTACTGAAATTAGCTGCACCTTGTCCTCTATCACGTTGCAATGTGTACATTACACAGGTGTGCCGTCAAATGTTGTCCTTGCCATGGATTGCTTTAGATTCTATCTGTAGTACCAAGAAAAGCATTGCTATTGGCCTGCGAGCACTCCCTACTACCTACCCTTCAGCTACACCAGAGCACCAATCTGATGTAGCATTGTTGGAAGCTGCTGTTCCATCTTCTGCAGATCTGAAAATCCTCCAATGCATGTTCTCCCAATAAACACACGAGGGACCTGGACACAGGAGGAGAGATACAGCTTAATCAGTAATCAGTGACAAGAAAAAGTGTGGAGAGGATTTATCTAGAATGTGCTATCTTTGTAATAAAGCGGCCAAGAGCTCACACCATCCCCCAGGTTCATCCCATGCCACAGCAAGGTGCCAGACAGGATGCACAGCTACCAGTCCCCTGTCTGCATAACAAGGTTAATTTGAATGGCGAACTTCCATTGCTGTCACAATCTTTTCTCCATGTGCCCTTTTTATGGCCTATAGTCCTCCTCCTACTTTATAACTGTGGCCATCTACTATTTCCTTTCCTATTCCTGTCCCTTTTCATCACATCTGCCCTTTTCATTCATTCCTCATTTTGTGTTGAATGAATTTCTCTTACTGCAATGGCACACACAGAATGTGCAGTAGCAGCCAGCCATCTCCTCAAGTCTGTGGCAGCAGATGGACAACTTTAGTGCCTGCCAGGAGGCCACTTATCTGATGACTGAGTACAGAGGACAGGCAATTGGTGCAGAGTCAAGATAATAATAAAAGACTTTCCTAAAGATTAGGCACAATTACTGAATTTCAGCATCCGAGACCTCTTCAAGGGATGAGTGTGCCCCAAAGGTCAGGTTGGATGGGGCCCCAGGCAGCCTGGTCTTGTGGGAAGTATCCTTGCCTATGGCAGGGGCTTGGAACTGGATGGGCTTGAAGCTCCCTTCCAAACCAAGCAGTTCTGTGGTTATAACTGCAGCATCAGGGAAGACAAGCCTTGTGAGACCTGATCCAGGCAGCACTCAGAATCTGCTTGTCCTCACTGAGTGAAACACAGTGCAAGAAAACCCTCTCCCCCATATCTCTGTTGCTGGGAATTTGTTTTCTGCTTTCAGTAATGACTTCTCTCACTGGCCATTAAAACATATCAGCCAGAGAATTCACTTCCTCTTTCTGTGGGTGGCTTCTCTTGTTACCAGTGCTATCAATCCCTCTCCTGCTGTGAAATCACCTGCTACTTTCAGTACGTGGCTCCATTAGCTAAGCTATCCATCTCTCCATCCTAAATTCCCTCGCTGCTGGGAAAGTACTTCTGCTTTCATGCTCCCACTGCCATTGCCAGCACAGCTCGACTCCACAGCTGTGACTGAGCTCACAGTATGAGTTTTGATGAAGCCCACAGGGACAGGCACCAGCATGTAGCAGTATACCTACTGTGATAGGTAGGGGAAAGACATATTTAATATGCTTGCCCAAAAGACGCAACGAGTCTAGTGCTATGACAGGGTGGGGATGTGGGAAGAATCATTAGAGATATTAGTGGAAGTCAGTGTGAAATGAGGGTGCTGGGGCTCTCCGGCAGCCCTAGGGTGAGGTGTAGGATGCTTGGCTGTTGCATGCTCTTCCCAGGAAGCTGAGCAAGGATTGCCTGTGTGACACGCAAGGAGTAGCTTAGCTGCTAATATGTTGTCATAACCATGTCAGAGGCAGGATATGCAGAAGAACTGATTACCCCAGCATGTAGTGTAGGGTAACCACAAGCAACCTGCCCCAGGAGGGTTTGGAGTTTGATGGTGTGCCAGTGTGAGCAATTCCATTTGGCTCATAGCAGGGGCAGTGAGAAAGAAGGTATCCTCTTGTTGCCTCTAAGTGGATGAAAATAGGAAAGCCAAACAGAAAATAAGCCAAGAAGTTGTCTTGATGCTGAGATCAGGGACTTCATGGGAGGTGGCAGGTAGCACTGATGAACAGAGACCAGGACCGCCCCTGCAGGACCATGCAGCAGTCCCAGAATCAGTGCAGGTCTGGATTTTTCCTGGGCTTTCTCTAGGCACACAGTGAGAACAGCCCACGGCATCCCAGTAGCATGGAAAAAGCCCCAGAAGTCCAGACACCACTTCATCGCAAGTGGTTGCTCTTGGTTTGGTAGAATGGGAGGAAAAAGGCGTGTTTGTTTCACGAGAGCACAACTCACTCTGACGCATAAACTGCCCCATCAGCATGTCAGCATTTCTGCGGGAATTAATTCCTGCAACTCCAGAACATAGCATTGCTCCGTAATACAAACAATTGTTTAACTAAGCTTCAGAATAAGCGGCTGATAGGTTTTGCAAGCACAGTGTCTCACTCTGCTGCTGGATTAAATGAGGCAATTCAGAATGCTTTTCCACTTAACACTGGAGGATGAAACAAGAGTCCAAATTCAGGGAAACCCACAGCTCTACACTCTCTCCTTTCCAAACACACCTGTGCTGACTTATGCAGATTCAAAGCACAACTGCAGATGGAACTTCTGGTGACAGTGTGAATGTGAAGGTGCCCTCTGCATCCATCAGATCCAGCTTTTTCTGTATAAAATGTTACTGGAGTGCCACAACTCCAGGCACAAGGCATGGCCTCACAGGTCTCTACAGTGGCTGCACAGTAAGAACACTGCTGGAGAGCAGCAGTACTTCAGAGCAGAGAGCAATTACAAAAATAGGGAGAGGTGGAGCTTCTCCCTGAAACCTGAACCGTTTCACTGAAAATAAACTGCTTGGGAAAGAGACCTTGCTTCACCTCCTGTGATAGCTGCCCAGGCTGTCCTCTGTCATGAAATTCTGAAACAAGTACCAGAACTTACAGTTCGCTGCCCTGTAGTTTTCTGGAAGTAATCCTGGACGTCATCCATCCCAGTGATATCAACCACTTCCAGGCATCCTGGCAGAAAGTTGAATTCCTTGAGCAATGCTATGGCATTCTTGCAGAAAGGGCAGGATCCCTTTATGAAAAGGGTAACTTTATTATCTCCGAGTTTGCTCTTCACAAAAGAATCCACCATGCCGCTGTCTGTGGATGAACAGGAACACTGCTTCTCACCAGCGAGCACAAAGCAGATGGGACAGCAACGCTTTGTCCCAGATATTTATGAGCTGTACACTGCCTTCCTCCCTGAAAACTCCTCCCTGGGAGGATGTAATCTCTTACACACCAGATCACTTGCTTTAAAGCAGCAACACTTCCACTTTCTGTTTGTTTTTTCCAAGTTGGTGAACAAGCTAGCAGTGTAAAAGCAGGAAGGCGCTTAACTGTCACGGGTTATTTTATGGCATGTGCTTTGGTACAAGGTTTGCAGTAGTTTCTCATTAACTATTACTCTGCCAATGGCTGAGCTGTTGCTGTTGCCTCTCTCTTCTTACAGGGGTGTGGTTAAGCCTTTCCTACCTCCTGTCACTAGCTTCAGGATACTGTCACCACAAGTGGACAATATAGATGTCAGGAAACCTGCAGCTAAGGTGTTTGAGAGCTGCCATTCCCAGAAATTAGAGCAAAATTTAAGTCTTTAGTGAGTATGTGTTTTTACATGTGAAAATTCATTAATGGGTGAGATTCCCTGTCTTCAGTTTCCGAAAGTGCTTTGATGGATTGTCAGACTTGTTTCAGTTTTCAAAGAGTCTGTGTCTGACTTGTGTCTTCAGCATAAGGCTGCATGCATGCTTCAGGCATGGCAAATATCACACTACAACTGGGCAGATTCAGATTAATGTGAAAGTTCCATTTCCACCTGCTGAGAAAGTCCACAGACTGTGTCATGGTGAAGGAGACTTCTGCATCCTTGGCACAAGGTAAGGGCACTGGGTAGTATTCCAGTATCCATCAGCTTGACTACAACTGAGTTTCCCAGGCCACATCTTGGCTAGAATTTTAGCCAGAACATCATTCATTAGCATAAATTCTTCTACTAGGGGTCAGCAGAATTCCTCTTGACATCTTACCCAGACCTCCGGTAGCACATAGAAGAGATCCAACCTAAGATATAAAGAATGAAGTCACTGGAACAGAATAACAGCTATGTGCATGGGATGGAATTCCATGCCCAGATAAACAAGCTTTATCCTTGCAGGATCCTTCATCCTTCTATCTCCTCTAGAGATCCTCTGAGTGGTGTATCCTACCTTCCTAAGTTAGAAAATATACGATGCAAAAAATAAGGCTCTTTAAGTCAGTTATTGAGATCGGATGTAATACTGCTCAGCCCAATGCTTTGCTTTTTCTTGAATTAGATCTTTTTGCTTTCCGTAAGTCCTTAATACTTTCCACACATTTGATTTGCTCATATGGGCAGTGTGGCTGCCTTCAGGGGAAGGGAACCCTGAAAAGCACCCAGGCCAAGCCCTTGCTCAGAGCATGGTCACCTTGAGCAGGTTGTTCAGGATCATGCCCGTAGGAGTTTGAATGTCTCCAATAATGGAGACCTCGGAGATGGAACAACCAAATGTTTTCCTTATGTTTAGGTGCAGTCTCCTGCATTCCCATTTGCCCTCATTGCCTCTGGTTATGGCACTGGGCAGCGCAGGGAAGAAACACCAGGACTCATCCCTTCTTTTTTAACTTGTCATCAACCATATAGATTATAGGCAGACATGGGATCTTTTCCCCTGCCCAAAACAGGGCTTCCCAGTTAGTTGCATCATGGTAGAAGGAAAAGCACACAGTTACGTACTGAAATGTAGACATTCTGAGCACTGCCCATTCCTTTGCAGAAATCAAAAAGAAAACATTAGACAGCTGGGCTCTCTTTGCACACCATACTGCAGTTCCTTGCCAGGCATTAGCTGTGTGCTTAGTACACCAAAGAAAATTCCAGGCCAGGCATTTCCTGGTTTCAACTTCTAGTTCACTATCTGTTCTAAGAAAAAAGAGGACTTCTGAGAGCAGCTGCTCTGCCCAGATTATTTTATCTGCTAGGTGTGCCTCAGCCTTTGTGATAGCTGTTGTCTGGTTTTTAGTAACCAGTTTCCCATCTCGAAAATACAGCAAAGTTTAAGCACCACTTTTGTGTTTTTCTGAAGACTGCATATACCAAATTCATAGATTTGAAAGCTGACAGGTTTTGAGAAACTGTGACAGGTGCTTTGGGCATTTCTGAAGCCTGTTAACCTGTAGTTACCAGGATGTGGTTGGTGGGTTCAGTGTAGGGTCCAAACAGAAGGTGCAAAAAAAAAAAAAGAAGAAATGTGACAAAGAAAGTGCTGAACGTGGCCAAGCTAGTTTGCTTGCTTTGTTCTGGACAAAGTGGGCAAGGAGCACAGAGAAGGCAGGGAACTTTTGAAATCACACCCGACATTGGAAAAAAATAAGAGCCCAAACAATACCTGAAATGTGGGAGACAACAAAGCATGGCTGAGAGATATCTCCTCTTCAAGAAGGCCTACTGTCCTGGCTGGTTCTGCTTATGTGACAGCTTCCAGAACTGCTTGTATCCCATGCCTGTGTCAATGTCAAAAAGAAGAAATACGGATGTATTTTGTGTGGCAAAAAGCTCCTAAGATCCTGTTTTTCTGAGCCTTGGGCTGAAGACTCCCAGGGAAAATAAGCTGCAAGAGAGGACTCAGACTGTCATATTCTTTCCAGTGTAATGATAAACAGCCAACAAAGAATGTGCAACCAGTAGTTCTTCAGAAGTTCAAAGTTTGCTCTTTCAAAACATTTAACACAGTTATGTTTCTTAGTTAATTAAGTAATCCTACCCACAGTTATAAAAACACAGAAGATTTCCTTCAATTTGTTCTGTTCTGTAGATGAGAAATCTTAAAAGTCAGGCCTTGCTTTTATCAAACATCTCTAAGGGAACTCAGAAAAAACCCAGCCAGGTTAACTGTAGGTTTTGCAACTGCTGCCTTTGTAGCATAGTCAGCTGGCTGACTCAGAGACCAGCTCCAAATACTGGTTTGGGACATCCAGCTCCATCTGGCTTGAGATTCTTCCTCTTGAGAGGTTTCCTTACCCTATGGACAAGGCAGACATCATTGTCATTGCTATACTCTTTGTTTAGTTTACATACATGCTATATGTCTGGTGCATGGTACACAAACAAGGAAAGAAATGCTACAGAAGCTGAAGAAGCAAAATGTCATAGTGAGTAGCTACTTGTGGGTGTGGAGTTAACTGGAACTTTAATCCTCTGGATTTATGTGTAAATTCTGCAGTGTGAGGTCTTGTGATGAGAAAATAATGATTACAATTAGCAGCAAAAAAATTGTTCTTCCTTGTACGTAGTGCCAAACACATTTAAGCAATGGTCTGCATTTCCAAACGACAGGTCAGCAGCTCATTCTTTGTAAAGAACCTTGTGAAGGCTTTCCTCATCACTGTTCATACAAGAGATGCACAGGCATTACTAGAGTTACAAAGCTCCCCTGAAAAACTGTTCTGCAGATGTCTGCCTGCTGTGATGGCTGATGGGTAACAGCAGCTAGATGTGGAGGTACAGAAATGCAACAGGCTACTAGTCTGCAAAGGAGAGACCTGAAATACGGAAGGCAGAGAGACTTGGGCTGCCCTTCACTGCGTATTTATGTTAATATTTATTCTGTGATCAGAGTTCAAGGCAGCTTCTGCTGTAAGAGGCTGCGGTTGTGGTGCTAACTGTGTGTGGGGGTCTGCAAGGGAGAGCCTTCCTGTACCCACCATGGGGTGGTGCACAAAGTAACAGATGCAAAACTGTGGCTTTTGGGTTTAAATATTTCAGTCATTGCTCACTGAGCTATTTGATTATTTGCTGCATGGTGTACCAGAACTACTCATTCTGTGCCAAGGACAGACTTCATTTGCATGTATTCAGGGCCCACAGTTGATAGGTTTGTACAAGGTTTACCTCTCACCTATCTGGTGCCTTGCAGATTCCACAGTACTTGCTTTTTCTAGAGCTTATTGTAATGAAAGTGTGAAAATCCTAGAAAAGTTCACTCTTTTGGATATTCACCTGAGAATATCTTAAAAGGAGAATGTATACTTCCTCTGGGAGAAAACTGTTATGAAAATGTGTAAAAATGCATCATTAAGGTAAGGAAAAATGGTAAGAGAAGTATAGTGCTAATGCAAAAATGTCTACAAAACTGTCAAAGGTATTTAGGTATTATTTTTATTATTTTCTGGTAAATACTGGATGATAAATTTGGTGGGAGACGCAGAACGGATGACAGTGAGGAACTGATTCATTTTCTTACCAGAAGAAAGGGAGTTGCAGCCTTGATCTGGGCAAGAATGGTGGGGAAATTCCAGAAAATTCCAGCAAATTCCAGCAAAGTCAGCAGATTCCGATGGTGCAGCCACACGTATGGCTGGAAGCTATTTTCAGCAGCCAGCCGGGAGTTAACAAGTATCCAGTCCAAAACCAGCAGTACTGCCACAGTTTCAAAATCATTTCCCTTAATGTTGGATTTATTCCAAAGTGGAGAGAATATTTGGGATCTCAGCTGAGCACAGCTTACTTTACCTTTACTGGCAATCTGCTAGCCTATGGGAATTCTTTAAGTACAGAGCACCGTGATCAGAATGTGTTTAAAACATTAAGAGAAGATGCAACTGATGTCAGGCTGCATTGTTGTATTTGCAGGATAAAGTGTTATGCCTCTGAAGACTGAGTGAGATGTGATCAGTGTGATTGGTGTTAGGGGAATATTGTGCTTTTGCAGATATCTCGTCTAGTTAAAGATGAAGCATTAGAAGCTCTTTTGATGAAGAGTTGGAAGGAAATTCCCATTATCCGGACATTTGAGTGATGTGGCAGGAGGAAATAGTTGTATCAGTGAAATAATTCCTTTTAGCTGGAAATATGGTGTTTCTGGCACTTTACATGCGGGCAGCACAGACGCAGCCATGTTCTCAGCCTCTTGCAATGAACGACTGTCTGCACTTGGCAAACTCAGTAAACTGCGTTATTACAAGGACAGAGTTTTTGCTCTGGTTTCACACAGATATGCATATGAGTACGGCTGTAGACTGTTGCACACAATGAAGAACAGAATGAGATGCAGTTACAGTGGTGAACAGATACCAAATAAACATCGCCTGGAGTGAAGCTGCACTCCTGGGAGCATGTGGCTGGTTGAGGAGCTTTGAACCCGGCGTATTTTCGCACAAGACTCGAGCAACAACACAATGTAACTGCTCCTGAAGCCCGGCGGCGCTGTGCTGATCCTGATCTGCTCCGCCGGGAGGCAGCAGCGCGCCGCGAGTTGATGCTCTCGGTCCGGTACTTGAGTCAAGTTGTGACACCGGGTGACTCGAGCTTGTGTTGCGCAGG